CCCCGACTCCAGGCCGACGCTCCCGGATCCCTCTTCGCCCCGCCCCTCACCTTGTGCTGGAAAGGCCATTTGAGCTGGAAATCGTATTCGCCCTTCATCACCACCAAGAAAAGGGAGATGTGTGTCCGGGCACCGCTGCCGTCGCCGTTGAGGTAAACCTTGAGGCAGAGTTTGTAGCCGTAGGCAGAGGAGAGAGAAAGAGATGACGGAGATCTGCCGTGCTCAACTACAAGCCCCGTGTGCCTGCGGAACTCCCTGCCTCATGATATCCCCGTCCCAAGCTATTGCACAGGAGACGACTGCCTGTTGTGGGGTGCTTCTGCTTGAGCAAATTACTTGGAATAGTGTTAACCTGTGGAACTACCTGCCACTGGATTTCACTGTGCCCAAAGTGTTTGGGGAGATAAAGCTTGTTGAGGTGCATTGTGGGGGATTTATGTGCCCTCTATTAAGCTCGGGAATTTCACACAGCAGGAAATCACTGTGCTGAGCATATTCCAGGGGTGGGGCTGTGCTGTCTAGTGAGGTGCATTTTGGGGTCACCATCTGATCTTGGGGGTGTGGCCTGCAGGACTGGATATTTGTGTCTAAAATATCCCCAGACTGCGCGTCCCAACCCCGTAGGGACAACATTGTGGAGGATTTCACAACATCCACAGAAGTTTTCCCTGCCGTGGGTTGGCGTTGACCTGTGGAACTGCATGCTGCTGGATAGTCACATGGCCAGACTATCTTCCAGTGTCAGGGCTTTGCTGTCCCCCTATGGTGTTGGGCTGGGGAACTCTCTGCCCCATGATAGTGCTGTGGCTAAGGTGTGGTGCATGATGGGGTGGTGGCACTCACGGGGGGAGTAGAGGGCAGGTATCTGTCCGGACCGGGCTTGCTGCATCCTTTGCCCCACGTCCGAGACTCTCCAGAGGAAGCGCCCGTCGTAGGAGACCTGCTCTAGGACTTGGATCCGGGCTCCCAGGCTACTGATCATCACGTCCTTGAGAGCCAGGAGCGAATCCTGATGGGCCACCTGGAAGGAAGAGGGGGTGATAGGCCCACGTGGCTAAGGTCGTGGGTCAAAGGTGAAGGGGTCACGTGTCCAAGGGCAGGCCGTGGGTCCAAAATGGAGCTGGGGGGAGGGGGGAGTCCACGGGTAAGAGCCCAAACGAGCCACTAGGGGCTGTCTTAGGCCAAGTAGAAAAGGTCGTAGGTCGTCTTTTGGCCCGTGGATCGAAGGGGGAGAGGTCAGAGGTCAAAGTCAAGAGCACGTGGCTCGAGTTGGGTCATAGGTCAACGCTGAAAGTTCCTGGGCCAGCCATTGGCTTAATCGGGAGAGGTCAGGGGTCACCGTGTGGCCCGTGAAACTTTTGGGTGGTCCAAAAAATGAGGGACGAGAGGGCGGCCATGTTGGGGTCATAGGTCAACACTGTGGGGTCAAATGAGGTCGGGAGGGGGGTGCTGACCTTCTCCTCCTGCTGCAGGATGCGGGCCATGGCTTCCCCCA